CAGTTGAAGAGTACCTATGATAAAAATTACAGTCATCTACAAGCTTTGCAAGTGGGAAAACCTGAAAAAYCAACAGTGTATCAAATACTTGCTCTCCCCACTGTATTTAGAATGATATTGGGGGTGTCCCGATCCGACATGGATATTGGATATTACTTTTACTTTCATTTTCCAAATATTTGTGAACAGTTTTATAACGTTTACATAAGTACTTTTCTCATCAGTGAAATTTATTTTTTACCAAAGTCATTATCTCTGAACGTATTTTTACTTTTACTTTTTTCCCCAAGTATTGACCTCCAGTTGTTATGTTATATCATCATGTTTTAGTACTACATTCAACAGAAAACACATTACACTCATGTAATTCATTCACAATGAACATAAAATATTTATTAAAAACAGGAAGACATTCAAGAGACTTATCTAATTCTCCTCACATGAGTCATTTCTCCTCAGTGACTCAGTCAGTCTGTAGCCGTGTTTCCATCCAATTTTTATTCAAATTTTGAGCAAATTTTTAAAATTTTGCAAAAATGCAAAAAAAGAAGAAATGTGAATCAGACGTGTTTCCATCAACTGACTTGAGGCGAATCAAGCAGGCTAGGCAATGTGTAATTACGTCAGACACAAGCCTGTAGTAAACAGGAAGTAAAAGTCACAAACTCGCACACATTTCAGGACAATGGAGAGAAGTTATCAGGAACGTGTTGCTACTATCAGGAAAGTTGTACTTATTCTGTTATATCAACTAGTTCTGGTGATGTCACATGCTGTCTGGAGACGTAGAGAAAGAAATGCTGTTCTTTTTCTTGTTACTAAGAATAACTGAGAAGACGCCGACAGTGGGAGGGGTCCAGTCGTGGCTGCAGGTGCTCTGATACCGGTACCAGACAGACAGCGAGAACAGCTGATCAACCATATGAGGTAAATGTTTGCTACGTCAGAACTTATTTGGCAAATGTGTTTCCATCTCTCCTTTTGCACATTAACGCTTTGTTGAAAAACCCAAAAACCACCTCGAGAGAACCTATAAATCTTTTTGCGAATTAGAGGAAGTTTTTTTAAAATTGTGCTGGCGATATGGCCTAAAATCAATATCACGATATATTGACCTGTAGGGATGAGTAAAAAAAAAATCGATTTTATCGATCTTGGATCGATTTCATTTAAATTTGGGGAAATCGATTCACAGGCCATGAGATCGATTCTTCCCCATGGCGTCTGAGGCGCGTTTCTATATTTTGTCACTCCTGGCTTGCTGTATATTTACATCCGGTTGGCATTCAGTGCTAATTCAATTCAGTTAATTTACCGTATTTTTCGGACTATAAGCCGCACCCCCCACCCCCCATCAGTAAAAACAAAAACAAAACAGTACACCCAAAATTGTGGTCAAAAAAGTGAATTCAACATCACATTTATTTTTGAGAAAAAAGTTGGCAAGTTCACCGGTACAAAATAATAATAATAATAAACTCTCGGAAAAAAAGGCGAGAGCTCTGGAATTAAAACATAAAAAGCAAACCTTTAGAAATTATCGGTAAAGTTCGGAGAAATACGGTTCATTTAACTGACCTTATTTTGGTAGTTTTCTTTAACCGTTTCTGGTCCAACAAAAAGTCTCATTCATCGTCCTCCGGTGCACTGAAACCATCGAAATCCTCCTCTTCAGTGTCGGAGTTAAACAAGCTGCATCACACAGCAGTACCTGTTCAGTTTCTGTGTCGCTGTCCTCCCGGGCTGGCTCTGAAGCTCTGGTGCCCTCTTCACTTAGCAGTCCTGCCTTTCAGAACCCGTTTGTGATGGTGGACTCGTTCACTCTGCTCCACGCTGTTAGGATCAACTGGCAGACATCAGGAAATGACGCTCTTCTCATTCGGCCAGTTTTTGTGAATGATTTATCCCCGTCAGTCAGCTTCTGGGAAAGCCCTCCCGCTCCAGCGTACGTCACTACATGGGATTCCTTCCCCGGGGAGTGCAATGCCGAAAAAAAAGGTCAGCAGCTCTTCACTCGACGTTTATCCACAAACTGGTCCTGGATT